TCAAAATAAATAAATAAACTTTAAAAAAAAAAAAAAGGTCATATAAAATTAAGATAGACCATAAACCAATATGACCTGGTGTCCTTATAAGAAGAGACAGACAGATACATGGGGAGAAAGTCATGTGACGATGGAAACAGACTGAAGTGATACATCTACCAGTCAAGCAATATCCAGGTTTGTTGGCAACACCAGAAACTAAGCATGGAACAGATTTTTCTGTAAGGCCTTTGGACAGAGCACAGCCCTGTTGACACTTTGATTTCGTTCTTCTAGACTCCCAAACTGCAAGAGAATAAATTTAAGCCTCCCACTCTGTGGTACTTTGCTACAGCAGCCCCAGGAAACATATTTATATGCCATACTTTATATCTGAACATCTATTCAAAAACATACAAAGCTTGCCTTTGTACAATAAAACTGGCCTCATTGAGTAGGAAGCTCTTTTGCACACTATACTGCTCCTGAAGGCCTTCATAGTATCAGATATTTCAGTGTTCTAAACATACTATGGTTACTTATACTGTTTCTTAGGATATCTCAAAAAGAAAGACACTCAATTCATGAAAACTAAATTAAAACTGGTCAGCTAATCTCTCCTGAAACCCAAGCAGGGATTCCAATCATTAGATGCTCCTGACTACTCTTTGTACTAGCCAAAGGATTTTCAGGCATTTGCAAGTAGACTTTAGCCTCTCCCAGGTCCAGACTGGTTGCAATGGCAAGAATGTACGAAGGCAGGCCAGACTGCGTTTAGGCAGGAATTTAGGACTGGCTTGGTATGGATTCAAAATGAGTCACTACTGATAACGCTCCAAAGAACAGCGAGAAAAATAACTTTTGGCCAAAAATCCACATTTTGTCTACTCATCAAACAGCGTGGATTTGGGGGTGGACTGTGAAGATGCTGCACTGTGAATATGTGCAGCACTTGCTTTCCCTCCAGCTCCCTCATCGCAGGCTACTTCTCCCTCCTCTGCCCTCCATGCTCTCTTCCGTCACATCCCATCTTGCTTCCAGCCAATGAAGAATTGAGCAGAATGCTGAGCAAGTCCAGACTTTGTGTCACCAAGCAGCCAATTAGGTTCTGGACTTCAATCCCAAAGACAGACTCAAAGGATGACAGTAATAGTATTTATCATATGGGGTTGTTTTGAGAATTAAATGAGCTAAAATATGCAATTATGCATTAGTATAGTACCTGGCCTATAGTAAATATTAGGGTAATTTTTTTTTAAAAAAAGCAGAGAAACAAGAAGAAATAATCAAAAACCGTATTTCTGACCACCAAAATCCCAGCTCTGCAAAAGCTGGCAAACTCTAAAATATCCCAAACATCTTATGTATAGAAACAAATGTGGAAAGTACTCCTGATAATAAAGAGGCATTCAAATAGAGAAAAGGGGAATAGTAAAGATCTCCCATAATCTTTCAGAGCTTCAAGAGATCTTTAACAGATCCCTAAAGAGTGTTTAATCTCTTTCCTTCAACCTCCAGGGTAGTAAATCACTGCTTACGAACATACTGGAAGGAGATCAGGGTTCTATTACATTGCTGAGGACTATGGGATCAGCAGCATGAGTAAGACGATAAGGTAGAAAAGGACACAGACTAGTACCTGCAGTGCTCCTCAACTACGTATTAGGTGCCTGTGGACAATGCTAGCCAGTTCTCCCACCACAGAATCCACCAACAGTTATAAATGTAATCATAATCCTTCCACTCATTATAAAGCCCAGCAAGTTAAATTGCAATTTGAGGGGTGCCTGGGTGGCTCAGTCGATTAAGCATCTGGCTCTTGGTTTCAGCTCAGATCATGATCTCACAGTTTGTGAGACTGAACCCCGCACTGGGCTCTGTGCTGACAACGTGGAGCCTGCTCAGGACTCTCTCTCCCTCACTCTCTGCCCCTCCCCCACTCTCCCTCACATGTGCACACATGCACTCTGTCTCTCAAAATAAATAAAAACCTTTTAAAAAACTGTAATTTGAAATAACTACTCATATCACATTCATTAGTGTGACATCATTGCATTTTCTTTTTTAATTCTTTTAATATTTATTTATATTTGAAAGAGAGATAGAGAGAGACAGAGCACAAGCAGGGGAGGGCCACAGAGAGAGGGAGACACAGAATCTGAAGCAGGCTTGAGGCTAGGAGCTGTCAGCACAGAGCCTGATATGGGGCTCAAACCCATGAACCGCAAGATCATGACCTCAGCTGAAGTCAGACACTTAACCGACTAAGCCACCCAGGCACCCCAACATCACTGCATTTTAAAATCACTATCGGGGCGCCTGGGTGGCGCAGTCGGTTAAGCGT